ATGTGTGTGTGTGTGTGTGTGTAAGTGTGTGCGTTTATGGGGGGCGTTGTTGGAGGAGTTCGGTGAATTTATTAAACTCCAACAAGGAAAAAACCATTGGTGTAGAATAAACAACACACTATTCACCATTTTCAGATCTTGAGGTCTGTGGCGTTGGGTGCACTGCCAGCTATTGCTGGACAACTAAGCATTCAGGCCTAACAAATTAATCACCGCTTTTGCCATTATGCACAAATGAAAGGTTCAGCAAAGTAAGAAAGTGACAGGAATTGGTGGCTTGGGAAATGCTAAAAAAAAAAGGAGTTTGAGTGCCGGGAATGCATCATGTATGTATGCAAATTTTGATCTATTTTTTTCAGGTTCTGCTACAACACTGGCAAGACTTGTGGGGGGGGAAAAAGACCAATTTTAACCTAGTCTCAATTACTTTGGTTAATGTCGCTTTAAGTTTTTCTTGGGCATCAGGTTAAAGACAAGTGACTGCAGTCTAAGTGATTGTGTGTCTATAATTATTATAACAATGCGTATAGAGGTTCCAGAGTTGCACATCTTTTTGATGATTATTGATTCAACTTCAGTTTCAGATTATATATCATCATTTGTATTTCAGATTAAAAGGGTTGGTTTACTTGTACCCTCCAAAGTCATAATCTTCCCCAAGATCAAGATCTAGTCTAGATATCTAGATCTAGATTTTAGTCTAAACATGATTCTGGTCCCAAACTCAGAATCTCACCTCTGTACTCTGACTCAACTTCGAAGACGCAGGGATCACTAAACAAATTCATCTTTGGAATAACACCGAAATATTTATTCTTGAATCACAATCATCAGTCTGATTATTCCAAGGGCCGTTGTGTCCAAGGCCTAGACCTATATTATATTAATTAATAATAAAAGATAGAGGCTATGACGCAATGACATGATTCTCGGATCATCGGCGAATTACTAGACTTATCATTGCGAGATATAATTTGTGTTAGATCTAGATCTAGATCTAAGTCTAGATTCTTAGATCTAGACTCTAGATCTTGATCTAGAAAATCTAGAATCTAGATCTAATATAGATCTAGAATCTAGATAGAATATATATATATATATATATATATATATATATAAGACCGTTGACCTCTCATGACTGTTGGGTAAAGAGATCAGCCGATGCGGATTTTGAAGATTATATTGACTTTGGGGCATATTACACAGTCAACAAGTTACTAGGCTACGTTCATTTTCCAAAACAGAAAAACGCAGAATCACGTTTTATGTTTATATTGTTGTGACAATTCGCGCCAAATGCACTTTTACTTGTAATTGTGCTCTATATGAAAGGTGAAGCTGAAAGAGATAGCCTAGAGCAAACTTGAACTTCCGTTAGCCTTTATGTGAAATGACTTACCTACTTCAGCTCTGTGCACCGAAAACTGTTTGAAACACGATTCGTAAATCCTTTACGATGTGGAGGAAGAGGGTAGATCTAAAACGTAGAGCAATGTAAGCGACCCAAAGCTCGACTGACTGACTCCCCTGCTCCTGCTAGCTGCTTGCTCTCCGACAGAGCTATTGATTGAACTCTTGACCTCAACCCAGCTGATCTGGAATATGGTGGTTATTCGCACGATTTGTGTCAAAAAGCTGCGAGAGTATTAACCTTGGTTTAACAAGGTTTCCATAGTGAGTCTAGGCTAACATTTATGTTTAGAACACTTTTTGGGCTTTTTTCTGTCTGCAATCGACAATAACCCATGTCAAACCTAAAATCAACTAATAGTTTTCTTTATTTTATTATTATTAGGTTCTTGCTTTTTTTCTTGACAAACATTCACGTCCAACTTTTACCTTAATCGCAAATATGTGGTAATAAAAATAGTAATAACAACATCTTGTGATAGTTCCCCTAATTCCAATGTAATGGATTCTTGTATTCGGATTTTTTAAAATAGAGAATAATCCATATATTCTTTTGACAGAGATGCATGCATTAGATTGTTACGTCTTGTACAAGTGTAGGGATGGGGTTGGGTTCTTGCCTATAATTTATTGTTAAATGTGTTCCAGATAATCTAGGTGGCCGTTGAACGTGAATACAAATTATATAAAATACTGTGTCTTAGCCTACTATTATTGTTTAAGCTTATGACAAATTCCGGCAAAAATCACAATTAATGTATGTGTGTGTGTGTGTGTGTGTGTGTGTGTGTGTGTGTGTGTGTGTGTGTGTGTGTGTGTGTGTGTGAGAGAGAGAGAGAGAGAGAGAGAGAGAGAGAGAGAGAGAGAGAGAGAGACGCGACATTTTGCTTTCCATGTTGAGGGCGCAAAGCGGCTATCGCGCACGACCTAAGCTGTCTGAGTATCCGATAGCTAGCGCCCGACTCGTCGCCTCACAAACGCGTTTGTTTTCAGGGGACGAGTCATTAAAATTAGGGCGATCGCCCCCAACGTAGGCTTTCTTAGTTCCGGGATTGAGAAGACTTAGCCCCCGACCCGACCTGATTCCATCCACAAACGGCACCCCGTATAACATGCATGATATGAATACACATGGCCTATAATTTGTTGAGTTTGTGGTGGTTTTCCTTCGAATCCATTCGTGTGCGAACGCCTCCATTCCTAAAGGAAACCCAAAATACAAGTGTGTGTGTGTGTGTGTGTGTGTGTGTGTGTGTGTGTGTGTGTGTGTGTGTGTGTGTGTGAGTGTGTGTGTGTTTGCCTTACTTCTTGCGGCAACACGAATTGTGGACAACTGATTCCGTTATAGCTAGCCTAAGAGTGAGTCTGATCGGAAACGTGTTCTTGACTTTTTGAATTGCCGGGTAGCAAAACAAATTACAAAACTACAATCATGGTATTTATGTACAAATGTTAATGTGGATTATCCAACGTGTGCATTTATTCATTCCAACTGCTTCAGTCAGAGCAAAGACGTTGCTTCAAAACAAAAATTAGAAACGCCCTTTCTAAGGGACATAACAAGCTTTTTGTATCAACACTGTATATTGTTTAAACAGTGTAGCCTCCCCTATTACAGTTAGTCAAAAGATCATACTATTTTATAGTACTAGATAATACAAAAGATCTGAGATTCACCAATGATGGGGCACTTAATTTGCACTGAAAGTGAACAACAAGTGAAAATTAACCACAACGTCATAAATAATGAAAGCAAAAAAGTAGGGTTTAAACAATCAAGAAAAATAAAAACCAAATTCATGACTATTTACACCAGTGACAAAAAAAAAGAAACAACAAAAAACAATCCATTGCTAACAGAAAACAAGTACATTGAAAAAGTAAAAGAATATATACATATTTGGGACAAACAGAGAACAAAAAGAATATGGCGAACAATCAGAAAGACAAATGCGGCTTGGGGTTGCTTTGGAAAATACAGGGAAATACAGGGCTATCAATATTGAAAATATGACCGTGCTGTTTTTGTTAATGCCTTTTCATGCTCCAATTATTCTAATGTATAGGCAAAAAGTTCGTTTGGCTTTTGTTGAGAAGGCGATATAAATTTAATGGTTCGTCTCTACTTAATAAAGTGATCACAGAGTTAAATTCTGCTCCCAACCACAGTCTAGGCCTAACTGGAAATGTGAGAATATGACTATGACCTTTGCAATTCGTTGTTCTAACACTTTCATAACTTTAGCATATTATTTTATTACAGTTCAACAGGGGCTTATTAATACAAGCGCCGTTCTCAACTTTTCTCAGTCAGATTGTGTTTTCTCATTTATCTATGTCAAGATTGTTATCCTACTCCAAATACAACATACATTTTACGTGCTTTATCACAGAAAAGAATGTGAGTAGGCTCTACAGTATTTCAACTATAGCAAAAAGCCATGGATATTTGTTCGTGTGTATTACATTTGTGTTAAATTTTTACCCCCCCCCCTCCCTTCTCTTTCGCGTGACCTCTCTGAAATAAAAAATATAAGCTTATCTCTCTATCCCTCTGGTGTGTGTGTGTCTGTAGACTATATCTGCATGCATGTTTGTGTGTGTGTGTGTGTGTGTGTGTGTGTGTGTGTGTGTTTGGGTGTGTGTGTGTATGTGTGTGCGTGTCTGTGAGTGTGTGTGCGTGTATGTTTATTTGTGTGTGTGTGTGTGTGTGCGTGCGTGTGTGTGTGTGTGTGTGTGTGTGAATGTGTGTGTGTGAGAGTGTATGTGTGTGTGTGTGTGTGCGTGTGTACACGTTCATGATAATAGATAGGTAGAATTTGTAAGGGTTTAACGACTCTATCGATATCAACACTGTTAGCCGAAAGGACCGATTCAAATGTGAAATGGGAAACATTCATGTAAAGTGTCTTTCCCGAGGACACAACGTATTGGACCCAGCTGAGAGCCCCCGAGCCCGCAATCTCACGATTACGAGTCCTGTAGCATAACCACTAGCACTCACTGACTAGCAGGCTTTCGATGCTACATAGATAGATAGATAGATAGATAGATAGATAGATAGATAGATAGATAGATAGATAGATAGATAGATAGATAGAGAGAGAGAGAAAGAGAGAGAGAGAGAGAAGGGGGGGGGGGGGAGCATTATTATATGGGGCTTCTAGTTAAAGCATGCACAAGTTAGCCACACAAAAAAAAAACAACGAAAAAAATCCAACAACTCATAAAAAATCTAGGAGGCTTTGAACTTTTACCCGCAACTAGATCTCGCTAGGAGGATTGACGTTTGTTCGCAATAGCTCACTTTCTGTATTCACCCTGAGAGCATAGCCCCGCCCAGAGAGATCCGAGAGAGAAAGAAAGAGAGAGAGAGAGAGAGAAAGAAAGAGAGAGAGAGAGAGAGAGAGAGAGAGAGAGAGAGAGAGAGAGAGAGAGAGGGGAGTCATTTGAAAAATGTAGCCTAGTCAAGATATCGAATGAATAAGAAGTAAAAAAAAACACAAAAAACCACGCACCCAAAAAAACAACAAACAAGACAATATAGCAACACTGTCCCACCTAGTGCCCCACCCATTTTCCTAACAATAACAATATTAGGTTATCATAAGAGTAAAAAACAGTTCGCTAAAAAGATTATATTAGGCTATGTTAACGTAAACGGTCTTTTTCAACACGTGGCAACTGGAGCAAGGGTGGCTGCATATTTTATGCGGGTTAATTTGCGGCATATTATTAGTATTATGGCTATGGCATCACAATTACAGAAAGTTCATGCTGCAGGTAGATCGAATCTATGTTTTCACGGGCAAAATCAATTTTTATAGGTACGGAGTTCAGGGTGAATATTGAAATCAACATTTCGATAAGAGTACATGTATGGAATTTAGGCAGTCGAACTAGTCGGCAATATTACTGCTTGACAGGAATAAAGACCTAGGCCTTCCTGCCCCCCCCCCCCTCCTTTGTCGTTTGTTTTAGTAGAGTTTTTTTTTACCGCGCTCGCAACTTTTTGTCCCTTAACAAACAAACAAACAAAACCAAAGATAGCCTAACCCATACAGAAGACACCAAGACTGATAAACTGATAACAGAACTGACAATCAAACTTCAGTTTCAAGGTGTGTTTTTTATTTGACGAGGGCAGGTTAAATCTTTTAGAACCGCATGGTTTCAGATTCAGAAGTAGCCTATTTCGTTCACGTTGAGTCTTGTTCTTTGTGTTGTGATAAATATATAACGGGACAAAGAACAGCAGAACACAAAGAAGTCCCAAGTTCAGTGGCGGGCTGCTCGTATTTATCGCCCTTCGTAGATCGGGAAATTCCGTAGTTTGACGGGAATAAACGAGCATGAATAAATAGGGCAATGAGCATTCTGGGGATGACGTAGTGCAGATTCACACACAGAGAGACCCAGCAGCTGAAATAAGCATAAATCCTCTTACTCGCAGCGTCGAATTCATCTGAGCGCCTGGGTGTGGTATGTATTAACATTTGTCCCTCTTATAAAATTACTTTTGTTTCAAATGATGCTCTGACGAGCTAGAATTTGGCGTTTTCGTGGTGTGTTTTGGTTGTGTTTTTGTTTTGTTTACATCCTGCAAGGTCAGCGCCTGCGCAGAGGGCTCCGATCGAGTGTATCTCAGCTGTTTCACACGGATCACCGCCAAATTATACAACTTCCGAAACAGAGTACACGGAACAGGGATACATAAATTTGGGAATTAAGTGTAGATGAGTATTTTTTGTCGAAAATGATTCATTCAATAGTTCATAATTATACTTACCTTATTTGAAAGATAATATGTGAAGAGATAACCCATTGATAATGCCAAGGAATGACCAGCAGTATAAAGCAATGGATTCCAAGATGGGATGTATTCTCTGAATGATCAAAATATTGACTTTGCGCCTGAGAGGAGGATTGAACATGGCGACCGTCACGCAAGGAACACAAAGGACTGCTATTTCACAAAGGACCAGTGTCCGCATGTTCTGAACTGGGAATTAATTTCCTTTTGCATATTTTTGTTTAGCACTAGTATATCATACAGAATCGGAATGTGGACTTAAGTTGCCTTTGTTATTCAGCACAAGGGATTTCCCCCCGTCCTCTCTATGAACAAGGTTTCTCATGAGTATAAAAAACAGAAGAAAGAAAAAGAAAGAAACCATCCGCATGTTGACGCGCTAAGAAATTAACAGGCCACCGAGGAAGTTGTGAACGATATTCACTTCATTTTGCTGTCGGCTGCTGTGAGAGGTAAACCGTGTTTTGATGTCAGCTGCTACTGTCACAATCAGCATTATGCCTGTCAGACACCATGGGAGCATCAATGCAAACTGGATAAGTAAGTAAAGTTGGTTGTCAAGTAGATTAGTATTCACTAGAATCTAGAAGATATATAGTGACACTAGGCCTGCTGTTAGTGGCACTGGTAGATCTACTAGCAAGTACGTTCAGAGCTCTTGAACTTAGATTAGAATACACCTATTACTCCTTGGAGATGAAAATTGAATGAAGGAGGAGGGAGGTTGAGTTGGTCTTTGTTGTTGTGCTTTGTGCAATGGCTGAATGGCCATTGAAAAGGAAAAGGTTGCGTAGTAGCCTACTTAGTTTGTACAGTACAATGATAATCTTAGACTCTACTAGACTAGATCTAGAATCTCGATCTAGATCGAGATTCTATTGTGATAATTTCGCCTATTTGTCCATCATGCTGTACTGTCTGTATATGATGCGATGCTATATCCAATCACCAATTATATGCGCCACTGCCAATAGTCTGTCATATATATAAGGCCGGCACTATTTCTCCGAACGTTCGGGAAAATAAAGCTGGGCACTATTTCTCCGAACGTTCGGGAAAATAAAGCTGGGCACTATTTCTCCGAACGTTCAGGAAAATAAAGCTGGGCACTATTTCTCCGAACACTCTGAAATATCATCCTTTCCCCCAAATTTCGGATATTATATAGATCTATAATTATAGTATGGGCCTACCAAAGATTGTTCGTATACAATATGGTTCAATCGGTCCAAAAAATGTCCGCCGTAAATATTTATATAAAGAAATGCTACAATTCCAAACAGTTTTTCGCTATAGATATGACGTGTTGCCTATGAAAGGTGCTGCTTTTAAACGTAATGTGTTGTGTTCACTCGTGTGCTGTCTAGATCTAGATCTACGGAGGGTTATTGATAACTACACATAGAACTGGCATCTGCGTTTGTCACTGCTGCGACCAATGTACTGACACTGGCAAGCCCCTTAATGTGTGTGATTCCATAATTTACATGTAATATCCTGTACTTTTTTTTTAAAATTACGCACATTTAGGGTTAAAACTGCCAATCTTCTTCGGACAGGTGGACACACGCCCTTATTTGTTAATGTTTGTTGTTGTTTATGGGCTGTTCTAATTTTGATTTCTTTCTGTTATGAAACCTTTCTTTTTCACGTTTTTACACTCATCTAAAAATCTCATCTAGACTAGCTGTTGAAAATTTAAATAGATATAGACCCAAAAATTTGCTCCTGTGTGTGTGTGTGTGTGTGTGTGTGTGTGTGTGTATGTATGTGTGAGTGTTTGAGTGTGTCTGTGTGTGGTAGTAAGTGGAGAGTGAGGAGTGTGTGTGTGTGTTTGTTTGTTTTTCGGGCTTTATTTCAGCCTTTATTCAGTAACAGTTCAAAGTATACAAAAATAGAAACACAGGATCCATTCACTCCAGGACTCATGAGTCATTCGTCTCTTTCAGTTTCACTCTTTCATTCAATTCCCGTGTTCTCTCCCGCGGCTCATCCCCGTCCGCATGACTTTCATACCCCACCCCATCCCTCCAGGCACACACAAAGAAAATCTCACTTGTTCCCTGCGAACCATGGACAATAATATAGGCAAAACACCGCCTGAGCTGCATTCCTTTTGTTCGTGAGCTGTGGACCAGGCCAGGGGTGGTCAGTGTCGTCGTCTTTTAGTTGCTGTCGCCTGTGGATACACTCGCACATTCTTCCTTTCACCCGCTCTTTCACTCACACTGTCTCTCCATCCACAGTTCAGCTCGTCATACGTTCAAAAGTTGCCCACTAGTTATGTTTAGTTAGTGTGTGTACATGTGCATGATGGTGGTGGGTGTGTGGTGGGTGTTACTGAAGGTTGTCTGTAGGCGGGCTTGCCATGCGGTACGTGTTCCTTCCCAGACCAGAGGCAGAGGCAGAATGAAAGTTGGCGCCGAACTCTCGCAATAAATAGGCAAAAAATCACGAGACCGGAAGCCGAAAACCGTTCGGAGAAATAGAGATCGGCACTATTTCTCCGAACGTTTGGAGAAATAGTCACTTCGTATAATATAATAATGTATTTACAGTAAAAATAATCAAAGCATTTCAGATAATAATTTACGGAAACAAAAACCCGGGTGGGCACAGCCAATCAATCAAGAGTGAAAAGTTGAGATCATTGAACTTCCCAATGCGTCAAGCTTTTCCAGTTACTTTCTTCCTTCCTCCGCTGGATCACTCTCGGTAGTAAATTGCGATCCTTTTTTAACACACGGAAAACACCGAACCGAGAGTGAGATGAAAATGCGGCTTGCGCATGTCGGCCCGTAGTAACTTCCTACTTCTGTTCTGTGCCTAGTGCTGTCTATAGTTTCTCATTGTTTATTGTGGAGTGACAGTGTCGACTGTCAATCGAGCATCGGGACAATGGCGCACCGTGGTGTCACTGAAAACGGCGGAAATTCGAGAGAAATGGTTGCAGAAAGCAAAATAAATGGAGCTGGATTGAGAAAGAAGCAAACGGTGTGCAATTTCAACGGTTCATTAGAAAATTGAACAAGCAGGGTGCTGCACTTTGCATTTTGGTGCGATTTAAAGAAATCTCGTACAGTGGCAATGATGTTGCCTCCTACAATACTGAGCTGCTTTACATTGTTGCACAAGTCCCAAGTGAAAGACATCTTTTTTTGAGATACTAGCTGGCAACAAACACTGGATTTTTAGTCACCAGACTAGGTCAAATGCTTACAGTAGTGTAACTTACAGTGTCTTTTTTTTTGTCTTTTTCAAATACATTTTAATTCAGTATGGTAAACGAATATATGACACTTTTCCCTTCCCAAAACAGAGATATTCCAAAATTATTGCCTCTGGATCTTACTGGTTTTACTCCGGCCTTTGGAGAGCGCGCGTATGCCTTCACATGAATTTCCTCCTTTTTTGAAATTCCTGAGTGGCAGCTATGGTCAAGGATCAGCCACTCTCAGGAATGAGATCACATAAGCGTTGTAAAACTCTATGAAACGGTACAATGTTTTGGCCGAGACGGAACTGCACTGAGGTGTGAACTCGCTGATACATTTGTTTTCCCCAAACTTTGTACTCACAGCTGACCTCTCCACTTAAAGTTGCATCTCTCGCTGGGTGTGTAGAGCCTTCAAGTTCGCTCCAGGCGGGATCACGTTGAACCGTGATCTCTTCCTGCCTGAACATTGCGGCAGTTGTCTTCACGCCCGAATTTGCGAGACAGACTAAATTTTAATTTGTGTAGGTGCATTGAGTCACAATGTATGGTGCGTCATGACAAAGGCGGGGGAACTTGATCAGAGATGGAAAGCTATAAATTTTGGACAGGTAAAGAGGAGGAGCTACTGGATAAGCAAAACGTGTCTTTTTTTATTTTAAAAAAATTATTTTTTTTGGTAATAGAGGGTTTTACGGCGCTCGCAACTGCATAAGGTCATATGAGCGCCAAAGGATAGGTGTCAACAGAGAAGTCTTTACAGGGAATCAGACTTAGACTGCTCGCCTCCAGCTTCAACAGCGCAAGGTCTGCTTCGACTATCAAGGCACCCCGGAAATAGCAGGTCACAAGAGAGTGACAAACATACAAAAGAAGTAGAGGAAAATGACAATAGTAAGGATCAGGAAAGAAAAAGCAGGAGTTCCCTGATGCCTCTGTGATAAGTCATCAAGGTTGACCACTCTTTGCTCGCCATATCATCATGTCATAAATCCACCCAGGGGTTACGTGGGTTCATTTTTGAGTGAAGGGACACCATTTTACTGGTTGTGGTCGTTGTTGATTCTTGCCTTGGTGCGTCGGCTAAAATCCAGTTTGCCTAAATCCAGCATTTTCCTTGCTGTCTAGCACCAGAATCTTAGGCGGAGACTACTGTAATTAGTGTAAAAATATACATGCACGCCCCATTTGGCTGATGTGCAATCAAATAAAACATCAATACTTGAAAAAGTAATGATTTAAGATGGTTGTTGTAAAGTTGAAATTTTGGGCTCTTGTGGTCTAGAGGTATGGTATTGCCTTTCATTCAATAGGTTCTGGGTTCAAAACCTGACAACGCCGTAAAATTTTGTCTCTAAAGTTTTCTCCTTTCTCCTCCTTTCCTGTTCTCTGATCCCATTCAGTCATCTGCTTTCTTCTCCACTTCTCCACTTCTCCCCCCCTCATCTGGGCTCTGACTCTTTCTGCTGCTATTCCTGGCTCCTTCTTACTGATGTCTTTCACTTTTCAGCCACACCCCTTTTCTCAGGATAGGTAAGATAGAACACACTAGCCTTCTAGGATAAGGGCAGGAGAATCGTGGAGGTCCCTTGTGCAAGTTGCATACACGTCAAAATACCCCTTAGTGGTCCTTAATTCGATAAAGAGTAGAGTAAGCTTCAGCAGCCACCTGGGCAAAATTCAAAATTAATTCACCAAACTGAAAATATGCCTTGTGCGCTCATATGGCCATATGTAGTTGCGAGCGCAGTAAAACACTTACTAAAACAAACGAAAGATTTGTTTAAAAAAGATGAAAATGAACAAGTGAACATGGGACTAGTGGAATAGGTTTTAAAAATCCCCTTTGTTACAAATATGTTCACTCTAGTTATGAGGAAGAAAGTGACTGACTCCCCTCTCTTTCTATTACAAGGGATGTGCTGAAAGAAGTTTCTGTCCTAAAAAAAACCTGAACTGCTCAGCTAAGCAGATTGATATTAGATAATGTTATGTGGTGTTGGTGGTTTAAGGGGTAGGCTGTTGAGATTGCAACTGAAAGGTCATTGGTTTAAACTGCATCAGGGACCCAACGTGCCCTAAGTAAAAAGCACTATACACAGATTTTCCTCACTTTACCCAGGTGGGAATGGTTACCCTGCTACAGACAGCTAAAGATCTTGTCAGTTTGTTAGTTAGTGTTTGAGCACTTAATCGGCTGCTTACACTATGTATGCTTCCTAGGTAGCCGAGAATGTTTCTGAGTGTTTCAAGGGGTAAATTGTAAAGTGCTTAGAGCGGACTGTTGAGAGGGGATATAATATAATACGTGTTATAAAAATGCTGTTTATTGTTATTATTGTTCATAATGTTCTAGATTGAGGAGAGGAGATATTTGTTGTTAAGTTTGGTAAACAAATTATTTTAAAAATTTAATATTCAATAAAGTTAGGGGGCTTCACAAATTGTAATGTTCCAGGCAGCAGAAGTTTTCACTTGTTGTTCTGGAGAGCTAATCTGATGGCAGTGGTATTGTGAGCCTGAGGCGAATAATTTTTTATAGAACTAATTGGCGGGAAAAGGAAGGGTGTCTCTGTCTGTATAATCTCTTTATGATTTTCATTTTTCTTTCTTCCAAAGAGGTGGTCTGGTAAAAGTTACCACTGTGTTAAAGAAGTCTCCGGTTTATTTTGAGCTCAATATTTCATACTGTACTTTTGTTGTCACACCTAACGGGGTTCTATATATGTAGCAGCCACATCTCATGAGCCGAACTGACAATTATCTCGACAAAAGATCTTTCTTTCACATGTTTGTGTATAGTTTACACCATATCTCTTGTTAGAGGCCTCAAGTATTTGCTCAGACTCTCACATTAATGGACACTTTTTTGACTGGATATAATCTCTGAAGTGGAAGGTTGAATTAGCTGGAAGGAGTATGGTGGTAAATTAGCACTGACTGGCACCAAACATACAAAAGATATAAAATTCAAGTCTTTTAACTATCTTGTATTGTGGGCTTGCAGTATAAAAATCTACACAGTGAGTGGCCCTGAAAAAAATTCCAACAACTTGTCAGCATTCCACATCTTTTGCCATTGTTGTGTATACAGTTGAATTTGCTGTGATGGCCACCTGTCCAAGACAATCACTAGTACAAATGACCACTTCCTACTTCCCCCTTGTGTTTTTCTACTGTCAAGACGTCCACCCCTCTAAGACTACTGTTTTTCTCAACAAACAGGTGGTGAGAGGGCGCTGCTGTTTCTTTACTTTCACTCTTGTTGTTTCTGTCTGTCTGTCTTACTTTTCCCCATCACTAAATGACCATTATTGTGTCAATGTGTTTCTCTTTACACAAACAAATCTCCTCAACAGTGAGTGGCCATCTAGGGCAATTTAGACTGTTTCATATTCGCTTTGCCTGGCTGTTGTGTGAAGTTTATGTACTTTGCATTTTTCTTATATTAATCGTTGAAAGACATCTTTCAGTGAGACTTAAGGGTGGGTGTCTATTGGGATTCTGGAATGAAAATTGTCTTTAAAATAGCACAGTGGATGATGTGGACCGAAAATAAAACGTTTAACTTCCTTATTAAATCTATCAGATTTTTTTTTTTTTGGTCAGTGTTTAACGGCACTCGCAACCTCACAAGGTCATATGGGCGCGCGGACACATTAAACATTTTTTCAGTTGGTAGGAAATTTTACATTTTGCCCGGATGGCGGGCAAAGCACACACTTATTTTGAACCACTAAGTGATCTTTTTAATGTGTGCAACTTGCACTCCAAGATTTTTCGCTGTTTTCCAAGAAAGCTAGGTGTAGATTTTATCTACCATAAGATCAGGGGTGTGGCTGAAAAACAGCTGTAAGAAGGAGCCAAGGAGTAGCAGTAGAAAGGTAGCAGAAAGATTGAGGGGGTCGGTGCAGAAAGTGGAGACGAAAGCAGATGACAGAACATTATTAGAGAGCGGGAAGGGATGTGAAAGGAGAAAATTTTAGAGAAGATTTGAATCCGGGACCTTTTAAAGGAGGCAAACACCTTAACCTCTAGACCACAAGAGCCCCGTCTATCAGATAGAGATGTTATAAAATCAAATGTGGTCCATAAACCTGAAAGGGATTAATCTGTGATCAAGGATGTTTCCTCCACCCTTTCTGGGACTCATCTAAGGCTCTGGGGTTTTTTTTATCCTTAAGGGGAAAAAAAGGTTTGAAAGGGTTTTATGTTTTGGTATTGATCTCATATTATTTCACATTTCTCTGAATATTGAAAGTGCTAAAAAGATTTTGTTGCTAATAACAGCAACATCAACCTACTGTGCGGATGGACTATTTATCAAGGTATCTGCCAAACAGCAGCTCTTTTGAGAAGCAGGTCTTGGTTGCCCTTAGTTGGAGGTTGCTGCTAAATGGAACTTTCTAAAGGGGGAGGGGGGGGGAGTACTCTGCCTGCTCAAGCTTAGATGGAGGTTGCTAACTGTCTTGGTTGCCGTTAAATAGACACTACTCAACTGTTGCTTTTTCAAAATTACGACTAGTTACCATGACACCTAACAGCAGTAGTATCTTTGTTACAGGAATTTAAAGGCTGACTGTTGAGAGTTCATATTATTGTCTTTGTTAAGATACAATATCGATATAAAATTTTTTATGAATTGTATTGAGATAAAAATGAATTCAAGTGGATTCACCTTTTTGCAGTCACGACTTTAAACTCTCTTTGTTCCTTAAGTACAGGTTCGAGGGGTCAATAGATAAGTATGTACAGCTTGCTCACTTTGTGAACTCAACACAAGCTGTAGATTACCTGTTCAGGAAGATGGCTTTGAGTTTATATTATGATTTTAAAATAAAATATGGAAGAAAGTAGGAAACTGAATTCGAAGTATTGTTGTGAATGATAATGAACTCCCATGCTGTTGAGAACTGGATTTCCTTCCTGATTTATTGGTACATAAATCGTGTAAAGATTTTTTCCCACCCTCTTTTCTGTTTATGTGTTCTTTATATTTGTTCATTGTCTTTCTTTCTTTCAGGCATAATGAACATGCCAAACCAAGGTGCTCGTCAGGTGTTTCTCTACGATCACGGCCGGCCTCACTGGTCACAGGGAGGACCTCTCTTCTACGACCGCAGGGTTCCCCCTCCTCCCCCGCCCCAGATGGGCAACTTTCCCAACCCACAGATCCAGGGGCCGTCCCCTCAGTGGTTGCGGGGTCCTTTCATTGGGGGACCAGGCCCTGGCCCCGGACCCAACCAGCAGCAGTTTGATGGGTTTGGGATCATCCCCTGGGGGAACCAAGGCAATCATAATTACAACAGGTAAATATATACACATACTCTTAGACACGCACGCATGCACACTCACACGCACGCACGCACACACACACACACACACACACACACACACACACACACACACACACACACACACATCACAAACACACACATACAAGCACGCACGCACTCACGAATGTAAACACACAGACACACAAACACACACACGCACACACACTCATACACACACGCACAGAAAAAAATATTAATAACAAGTTTTAGAAATGGGCAAGACAAATTTTTAAAAACCTACTGAAAAGCGACAGTGACAAATGGTCTTGAATTTTTATTAGAAGTTACATCTAATCACAATACTTTGATTTGAGGAAAATTTATGCTTGCCTCAGGTTATATTTTTGTAGGTTTAGTAATAGGAATTGTACAAAAAGTGCGAGAATCCTGGTGTGGCATTCTGAGTTGTGTTTTCACTCCTGTTGTGGCCCAATTTTGCTTGACAGCTGTATTTGGATATCAAGCAATTCTACTGCCATGTTTTATTGTAAAAAGATTCTGCACACTTATTTGATGTTACAATACCTGAAGCCACAACTCAGCTGGGCCACTATACATAATGAACAATGCTGCTGTCTGGATCTCTTTTGATTTGTGCTGTTCAGGGGTGTCCTTTATGTTATCTTCTCCAGGCACAACAATCGGCATCATCACAACAGAAATGGTGGCGCTCCAAGGAACAACCGATTGCTCGCGCTGAATGCTCGCGGCAACAACCACCGACAGCAGCACAACAACAACGACCATGAGGTAGGTCAGAAGGCTGGCATTTTATGTGAATTTGTACTGAATAAGATAATAGGGACTTAGTGTAGAATATTTTCCCTGCTTTAGTAGTCTTTGAGATTGTCTTTTTATTGAAGAGAAATGCGAAGTCCTTATTACGGAATATACTTTTGGGATTTTAAGTTTGTTTCATTCAGAACATAACTGGCTTTCATAAATGTTGTAACCAAGTTTATTTAGACCCAGCTCTAAAGAGTTTCATGTAATATTTAGAAACTTACGGATTTTACTGTTGTGTACCAGAATATGCTCTCAGGGAGTGTAGAAAAAGAAAACGTAGCAGGTCTCATGATGCTATCAAATTGATACGTGTCCGTGTCGTGTCTCATCAGGTGCGGTACTTATGTTTCAAGTGCGGGGATTACCTCCAGAACTCTCCAGAGTCTGGTGTGCACTTGTGCGATGCCGGTGGCCCACACCTGGAGCAGAGGCAGTCCCACCAGCTACACAATAACAATGGCGGAGAGCTGCAACAGCAGCAACATGAAGACCTGCAGGCCAGGCTCAGTACGTTTGTCCTTGGTTTTTCTTTTTTTTTTGAGGGGGAGGGGGGGAGGGGTTCTCATTTTTTTCTGCTCCTTCTAGTGTGCAATTGGGGAATAGAGGGCACCACTTGTAGGTTCTATTTCATTTCTTTCAGTCAGTTGTTGTTTCTGTCTGTCTGTCTTGCTTTTTCCCTGCACTCAAACTCAAAACTCTTCTCCTTCCTTGTTTTTTGCACTTTTCTTTTCAGTGTCATTGTTGTTCTCATCCGTTCCCAAAAAACATATATAGCTGTTGCTATGTTGAATTACCCACACTAAATGACTGTTATATGTTTGATGTGCTTCTCTTTGCTTAAACATGAAAACTGCTATGCACTAGAACTCATGGGTGGTTGATGGGTGCTCTGATATGGTTTTCTCCTTTCCTCTCAAAACATCTATTGTCTTTATCTCTCTTCTTTTTCTTTGTATGTTACTTTCTAGTGGAGTTTTGGCAACAACATAACCAATCTGGTTGTACGGTAATTATCTGTCTTTGTCGTCCTGCCTTTTTTCAGCATAAAACAGCTTTTTGTTGTGTAGATATGCTTCTTTTTTCACTGAAACTTTATGGATGGTTGGCAGGTGCTCTGGTGTGGTCATCTCCTTCTTTCCTATCAACCATCTGTATCGATCGTCCCCGTCTTTCATCCTTTATGACCAAAACTGAGTCAATAGTGCCGTAAAACAGCCTCTCAATCAATCAAGCAACCCCCTCCTTTTTGTGTTTGTTTCTCTCTTGTAACACCTCCAATCTTCTGCTCTTTTAAGACCTTATTGTTTTGCAAGTGCCGTAAAACTCTTACTTAAACTGAATCATCTGAAACTTGGGGGAGGGGATGATCAGAATTTTGTCACTCTCTCATTGAAAGGTTTGGGTGTTGTAGCTTCATGGGATTAGGAAGTAGAACTTCAAGCCTGCAGCCCAGTTCTTCATTTGGGGTAAGAAATAAGCTTTTGAAAATGTATAGGATTATTATTATTGCAAGTAATTGAATTTCACTTTTTCTTTCCCTCTGCAGAAGCTTTCATGGAAGAAGCCAAAGTGGCGGTGAGCTCTGATGTGAAACTGTCTCAGGAGGATATTCACAAAGTCTGTCTAGAGAGGGCCGAGAAATTCCTCTCCTTGTACAATCAGGTATGATGCTCGACTGTTCTCTAAACACAGTAGTGTTATACGTGGAAGAGTGTTTATGTGGTAGAGGTTTTTAGGTTTTTGTCTCAAGTATGTTCTACAGAAATAAAGAATTTCTTACGACAGTTTCAATAAAAAAGAGTCCAATCAGGAAAGTGAAGACATTTGAATGACTGTCTAATCAAGCATTAAATATAAATCAAAAGCTATCTGTGGTCAGTCCATCTATACAGCTGTGAATGATGGATCATTATAAAAGATTGAAAATAGAATAAAAGCAGTAGAAATGTTTTTTTTTTTAAGGAGACTGTTGAGAATTTGATGGAAAGGGGAAAAAATCAAATGAGATAGTTCTGAAAGAAGCTCAGTTGGACAGTTTGGAATCTGATGAAGCCTTATGCTTATGAATTGTACTGTGAGTAGTCGAACCTGAACTGATTGTATTTGTAAGTTTGAATTGTTTAACTATCAATCCGTGTGTAGGATTACATTTTCTTCAATCTCTTTATATATTTTTTAACCCCTTTAAAAAAAAGCCTTTTTTGTTTTTTAATAATTGTTTTTTTGCTGTGTGGTTAGTTGAACGGTGCTTCTGGTATGTCCTACTTTTTTCCTTTCCCTCTGTTTTTTGTTTCTGTCTTTCTTGTATTCCCTGAATGGCCATTAGAATGCGGATGTGCTTTTGTTTATTCAAACTACAACAGAAATTAAAACAGTCTATACATTGTAGTAATGAATAATTGAATGCTTGGGTACTTCATAATTTGATAGAATAACAATCTTGTGCTAATGAGTAAGTGCTGTGAAATGTCCAGCCCGAGATGATTTTCATATTGTGCTTGTAAATTGATGTTGTATAAATGCCTTACCCTGTTTAGGATTACATTTTTTGGTTTTGGTGATTGGGGGTGATTAGAGGGCACCAATGGAAGGTACTGACTAGTTTTCATTGTTTTTGTTGTTTTTATCTTACTTTTCCGGGACACTAGATGGCTGTTCTTGTGTCAGCAGGTTTCTGTTTATTCACACAGTGGATGGTTGGTAGATTCTCTAGTATGGTTTGCTCCTTTTTCCTATCGAACACCTGTCGTCCTTATCTCTCATTCTCTTTATTTTGCCTTTGTTACCTCTAACACCTCTAATCTTCAGCACTTATTTGACGTGGGTGATTGGCGGATGCTCTGGTGTGGTTTGCTTCTTCTTTCCTATAAAACGTCAATCGTCTTTATCTCCCCTTCTTCTTTTTTGTGTTTGTTTCTCTGGTAACACCTCTAATCTTCGGCACTTTTATGACCTTTCTTATTGGGGTGCGAGCACTTGCTAAAACTAAAAAGCACTTTTTTGACCTGATTGTGTTGCAAGTGCTGCAAAACACTTTCTAAAACAAAAAATACCTCTTCTCTTTTTTTGTGTCTGCTACTCTTTAGTAACACCTCTCATCTTTGGCACTTTAAACGTGACCCGATTGTGTTGCAATGCTGTAAAACTCTTACTTAAACAAACACACTACTCTAACGAATACATTTTTTTTTCCATTTCAGCTGCAGAATGAGCAATTGTCAATACAGGAGCAGCAGGAGAAGCTGGAGGCCCAGCGGAAGGAGCTGGAGAAGCGAGACGGAGAGCTGGCTGCTCTGCAGACACAGCTAGAGGACGACCGCAGCAAGCTTCTCAAGGAGTGCAAGAAGGAGAGGGAGGAGATTGCTCGCAAGTGGCAGGAACTGAAAGATGAGATCTCACGCATGGAAGAAATGCACACAATGCAAAAGGTATGGGGGGGTTCTGTTTTGTTTTTGTTTTTTCTTGCAATTCTTTCCCTGAGCCGTTACCAAATCCTTATCATTGTCTTCAATTTTTGTAAGGAAGAAAAACCCAAAACTGAAAATACGATGCTCGATTTTTATGGATGACAGCTTGGTTTTGGGAGTAAAATGTTTTTCGTAGTTCAAAGAAAAAGACTAGAGGAAGTTTTTAATTAGTTCATAGCAAAAACCTGTCTCCATTTAATTGTATTTATGATAGATAGCAGCATTTTTCTTAAAAACTGTATCAACTGGTTTTTTTTTTATAGCACTGGAGTTCTTGCCACCCTTGCTTTCAGTGACAGTCCCTTTCCTACTCTTTGAAAACGATATATCATACTGTTTCCTGGTGTTTATGTGTATTCGTTTTTGGTTTTACTATTTTCCAAACTATGACATGCCTCGGAATGTTCTTGAAAGTAATTTCTCTTCATACACCCAGGAAACTGTTTTGGTGTTTGCCTTCTGTATCAAAGCTTTTTCTTTTTCCTCATCACTGGGGCTGATAAGTTCTCAAGGAGACTTGCGTGCCTGCTGATGATTAAAAGGAACAAAAAAGAAAAAAAAAATTAGGGATTCCCTTATCTCAATTTGTGGCTGCATTGTGTCATAACATAACTTTTGGTTTTGAAAATTTAAACCAAAGTGTGAGACAGACAAAAAAATAAGTTCATCCATGTTTTTTCATTTTATAGGGTAGAATTCGTCTTGATGTTGGTGGAAGTGTGTTCACAACTTCAAGGTTAACCCTGACCAAAGATGCAGACTCGATGTTGGCAGCCATGTTCAGCGGACGTCACCATGTAACTCAGGAGGAGGACGGTACGGTCTTTATCGACCGAGATGGCACACATTTCAGGTAAGGTAGTCGGTGGTCTTCATGCTTCTACAGCTAATTGCTGGTCATAACACGTCAGTTTATAGACTTTACAAACTGCTCTTTTGTTAGAATATCATAGCTGTCTCAAGAAAAAGGAAAAGGTGCAGCTGCATTTTTGACTTTGCTGTACTGCTGTACAGAGTGAAAATGAAAAAATCATCACTTACTTTTTTTTTACTTGAAAAAGTGGCGAAATGAAGTTCTCAATTGAAGCTTGTTTTTAAAATTTTTTTTTAATGGGTCTTAAAATAAAAGTTTTGATTTGTGGTCTGCAGCAAGACAAACGCGACATAAGCTTTTAACAGAAAAAAAAGTAATGAATGTTGTGCTTTGTTTTCAGATACATCTTGAACTATTTGAGAGATGGAGGTGTCAACCCTGATGGGTTGCCGCGGGATCGCCAGGTGCTGAGAGAGCTGCGGAATGAAGCTGTCTACTTTCAGTTGAATGGGCTTGTCCAAACCATTGAAAAGTTCTTGTAGGATGAATCTGTTTGTCTCCCGACCTGCCGGAGTAATGAGGGGTCTTTGCGCCCGTCGAGTCGACCCAAGTGACTTGCAGAAGTCTCCCTCGGAGCCTGTGCTTTTTCGGATAGCTGCTTCTTTCCCCGTGGGTGTGTGTTTGCCTGCTACCCATCAAGCCTAGTGCAAGCTGCGCCGCTGAAAGAAGGAGTAGAGCAGATACTTTACTACTAGCACTCTGTGTGTGTGGTGTGTGATGTTGTAGTACTTCAGGAGAAATATCAGTGTATTTTTTTTCCCAAGTCTTACTAATGATTGCCTTTGGCACTTCCCATGTGGTTGTTGTGGTATTATCCTGCACAGCATTTGATAAATGTCTTTTCTCTTTTAGCCATATTTTTAAAACTAAGGCACTACTTCACTTGCTCATATAGTGACCACCTGTGTTTAGTAATTTTAGACTTCACTACACAAGGAATTCTTTGACATGATTGACAATCTGTCATAATGAAATGTTAATTTTCTTCATACCTTGGGAAAATTTTTAAGATGTATGTTTAGTTAGTTTAGTACATAAGAAAAATGAAATTTTATGCATGGTTTCAAAACGTTATTTAGATTGGAGACTTGTCCTGAAGTAACACATTGATGGAGTCTGTGCTTAGTTGATTGCAATGGTAGCTAGGTGTGACGACTACTATTACCCCATTCCCATTCCCTCACTGACAGCTAAAGTATGATGTTTCATCTGTAAAATCGAAATTTTTCCACTTATTTTTTTTTTCCTTCTTCTCATTTGGGCTGTTTTCCTTTTATTTCTTCTTTTATTTTATTCTAGTTCCTTTGCAGATGTTATTTCTCAAGTGGTGAAAATTTTATGACTGTTGTAAAGACAATACTTTTTCTGCTCTTGCACTTGTTTGTCTTGTGTCCATATTGTCTTGGTTGTGCTGACGCTGATCTGTACAGACCTCAGCACCCATCGCTGCTGTTCTCTCCTATCTTTGGCCACTGTGCTGTTTCTCCGTGTTGACTTCAATGTGAGTGAGTTGACTGTTATGTACTATGGTCTACATTACTATCAGGCACTTTGCCGCCTCTCGTCTCCTTGTGGGTCTGTCTGCTGATCTGCATCATGCCCAAATCATTCCCCTTTATGGTTTTAGAGAAATTTTCTGTTTGTTATTCTGGGCTCTAACGTTGTTGTTATGTCAGGGTTATATTTTATTTTTAAAACTTTTTGTCAGTTATCCAGTGCTTCGTTGACCTCAAGAGGAGAATGTATCTCTCTTCTTTTGTTTCTCTGTGTTTGGTCCCCATGTCCTGCTCTCATTTCTCTGTCACACCGCAGTTGACTGCCGTGATGTGAGGGTGGGGGGATGGCCTGTGCTGTGGCTGTCCTTGTGCTGCGCTTTGTTTCATGTGATATTGTAGCATCCAAAATCCATATTCATGTTTTGCCATCAGGAGGCACTCTATAATAACCATGAAAAGACTTTGATCTTTTATTTTGTTTTAAAAAACAACATTTTAAATCGTTATTTTTACTGCATGCATTTGTAAACGGTGGCGGTCGTGTTAAAAATAATCTAGCTCGGTATTTTCATCTTTATGAACTGTCTTTTAAAGGATTATAGATTTTCTCTCTGTCTTTGAAGACATATACTCTTTTAACCGTTACTATATACATATATATGAATCTTGTAAATTAACTAGATCTAGTGGCATCTGTATTGTGAGCTATTTGCAATCAGAAATGACTTGTGTCTGGGTTTGTTTTTTTTAACCGATTTGTTGGAGAAAAAAACCTAGAGGCAACTCTTCTGCTTTTCTTTTTTCTTGTTTGAATACTACTCGGCCAAATTTCACCTGTGGAATGATAAATTTTCCTCAACCTTATCTTTCTTGTTGATATTGTAAGTAGTTGCCTTATGCCAATGCATGCTGGTTGGGTTCAGTGGTAATAGAGAAGAAAGCCAATTTGTTTTGTGGTTGTGGATTAGAGTTCCTTTTTTTTGTGGGGATTTCATTTAGTTGTTTGTTACTCGTGGCTGTTTCCCTGATTAACAATTGATTTGTTTAGCTGTGATATAATGCTTTCTTCTCTCTCTGTTTCTTTGTGAACGTTGACATCTTTCTGTTGTTTCCCCCTACCCCCACCCCTTTATTTTTTTCTTATTTCTTTATCTTTCATTTTTCCTGATTTAAATTTTGATTTATTTTGAATTTTTTCCCCCCACCCCACCCTTTCTTTCCTATGTCCATTTTATAGCATCATTTTATCTGTTGCTGATCGGTTGAAGAACAGAAAGACTTTTGTATTTCACATTTTTCATGATGCAAATTTTTCTCAGGGTTCATTGCAAGTGTTAATGTTTCACCTTCCTTTCATACAACGGACACCAAAGTGAATGAGCGTGAGCACATCGTAGTGAGGATCTTGTGAGGGTGGGATGAGGCGGACAGGGGCAGCCTCGCATGTTGCATCGAAAAGGGGGCTTTTTAGTGTGGCATGTGCCTCTAAAGACAAGGCTTTGGCCATTCCCATAACAGGGTGGTAGATAAAAAAGAACAGTAAGAGTAAATCTTTATCTCATTTACGTGATTCATTATATTAATTAAGCTTCCATCTCCTTTTGAAAAAAAAATAATTAATCAAATCAGGGATGGGTCTGGGAGCTGATTTTGAGTCCTGTTCCTTTGCCCTTCACATCATGAAAAGGGGGAAGGTTAACGTTAAGTTGGAAGTAAAGCAGCAGGGAATCTTCCCGATACAAGTCAATGCTGATACAAACCTCTTGGGTTGTGGTGGAAATACCTTGTACACATAGTCATATAAGGATTTAGAGAACTTCTTAAGCGAATCAGAGTCATTTGTTTCCTCTAATGGTGGGTGGGGTAGGTAGATTTGAAAAGTACTTCCTTTCAATATTCACTGTTTGTGGTGGACATGTATTGACATTCTATGAGTATGACACGACATGTATTGCAATGGCTCATTCTTCCAGGTGGTACTGTTGTCTTTGTCTCCACCAGTGAATACTCCAATGCTTCTCTGCAGTAAGTGACGTTGTTTTCTCAATCTTAAGAGACCCGAAAGCCGAACGGCAAAGTTGTTTTGAGAAAATATAGAGGTAAAAATGAATTGCAGGTTTTGCACTTAAAGAAATGACAGAGGTGAGGCTGTTGAGTCTTGGTATGATCTCTCTCGTGCTGTACATTGCTTGCTCCAGACGCTGCTTCTTCCGTCAGTCGAGGTTTTTGTTCCAGTATTCTCCCCTGTCCATATGTAAATACTGTCCCACCATTGGCTTTCTTCATACACTTGCTTTGGTTGCGTGTAGGGCGGTTTATATGGCTGTGTGGTTTTGATTCAAGCTTGATTTTTGCCCGTGCACCCTCACCCCCACCTGCCTGCCTCGTGTGACAGGACTTTGCTGTTGTTTGTTTGTTTCCTTGGCCTTCCAGTGATAGAGGATGTAGTGTGTGTTGTAACGTGCGACCCCCCTCGCCCCAAGCAAATATCACTTGTTTGTTGTTGTTGTTTTTTAAAACTTTATTTTTAATGCCTTTTACTTTTCAAGTTTGTTTGTGTTGGCATTGATAATCACGAATTCCATAAAACTGTTCTCTGGACTTAGTTGCTACTGCATTTGTTTTGTATGAGGTGAAATAATCCTGAACCAATCATATTATACATATATATATCTTCATTATCGTGTATTTGATAATATTTGCTATGCTCCATATACAATAGAGATTCACTCTAGTTTAGATTGAGTACCGGATTTTATTCCCTAATGACTTGTTTTATACCTTTGAGCATATTGTGCTATACTGTCGTAGACTGTTTGTTGCTATGGGTATACACACTGAAGTAACAATTTTTTTTCTTTTTCCATTTGGACCAGGTGGTTGAGACTCTCTGCCTGATGTAGAAGCGAAGAGCATCGTTTAATGAAAGGGTTCACAAAAATTGCAAACAAGTTTTCATCATTGTTATTATATTGATAAATCAATGCAGCTTTTTTCCCCCCATGATTATTTGGTACATGTAATAGATTATGCGAAAGGACCGTTTCAACCGTTTAAATCTTAATAAACTGCTTCGCATTATGGTGTGGTCTTTTGTTTCAGAAAGAGACATTTTGGTATGATGTCAATTGGCCCAAGAATCCTTTCATAAAACATGTCTCTTTGGTGACTGTGACATAAAGATACACTTCACCTCCTCCGCCCCTATTCTTGGTAGACAGCTTACTGTTGTGCTGTGTTCTTCGTGGTTTTAGAGTGGAGCCAGCCGTTAGAAAAATGGAAGTGAAAGTTACAATGGAGTAAGTTATTGTGCTGCACTTAATTTTTTATTAAGTGTTGGAGATAAAAATTGGGACTCTACTGGAAATGATATGCTTATTTTGTAGGTGGTTAGTTCTTGACATGTAAGGGAAAGACGGCCCAGTTCATATTGGTGTTGTGTACAACAAGCCAGTCCTTTGGTTTTATTTATAGCTACTCGAATTTGTGATAATTTAGTCATGTGTTGTCCTAGAGGGATGAATTAGGTTTTGACCCAGATAAATCCTATGTTGACTCAGATTACTTTTAACTAAATTGGTCTTAAGTACAAGTAAAAAATGGGTCAACTTGATACCTTGACAATAGGTTCGTGAATTTAACACTTTGCCCCCACGGGAAGGCGATCGGTGACGGAAAGAAGCCGCCCCCTTTCCCCATGGGACGCTGATCGGTGACGGTGTGATATAGCGTGTACTGCACCTGTATCCTGGTCCATGGGGATAAGTGTTGCGCGCTGTGTGGGTGGAAAGTGTTAAGGGCACTTTTGTTTTTATGATAGTTCATTTTATCTAGGTTGTATCCCTCAGCTCAGGAGGTTGAGTTCTGGGGAGAGAATAGTCTTCTAGATGTTGGGTCCTAGTGGGTTGAATACATTCTTTATTCACTTGATACCTCATATATATCTACTTCACGCAGAGAGTCGCAGGTTTTGTTGTTGTCTCTATATATTATATAGCCATAAACTATTCCAGATTCATTTGTGATTGTATTACCTTTGCTCCCTCTGATTATCCCTTATGACTGACACTAACAGTGGCGCTGCGTTGGGGCGAAGTCACCTTCTCGGTTTTTCTCTTTGCTGCATCCTCTTCTCCCAAGCTGTCCCTATTGAAGTGAATTATTGTGGCTTCTCTTAGAACTGTAATTGTTTTTGGATTCGACCAGTCACAATGTGGGATTTTTAAAAGTCGTGGTGCTTAAAGTGGTAAAAAATTTGAAGCTTTGTTATTGAATGCACTTTTTTCAGTAATCAAACATCTGTTTTGTAAAGAGACAAGGAATCGTAGAAGTTTGTCACAGCTGTTGCGTTGTCTAATTACTTTTCCTCTTTAGAGCACAAAGGGCTGAAATGAACCAAAATGTGAAATATATGACTTTGAAAAGTTCAGTTGCAGTTGGTGGTAAATTGACACCAGTGCTTTTGTGGACTGCTTTCCACATTGATCAGTCTTGATAGTTTAATTAGGGTTATTATCCGTCCATCCTCCGCTTCACCAGAAAGTTTCCACATTTTGTTGTAAATGGCGTCTTTGCTTGCCCGAGAGAAGCACCTGTTGTAGTTCAGTGCCAGCTATCTTATTGGAAATCAAACCCATCACCTCTTGGCTGTTGGCTCATGCCCTGTGACTGCTATAATTTGGGGAGGATAAGGTGCACCTGGTTTGTCCTACTTCTGTATCAGCTCTTTTGTTTTTTCAGTCTGTCTGTCTTTCTAGCTTTTTTCCCCCCAAGTGACTGTTATTGTGTTAATGTGTGCCTCTTTAACTTGACCCAAACCTGACCCCAGGGCTTTATATCTGAATTATGGCCAAAAAAGAAAAAAGTTGTATTTCTATTTCTTCTTCCTGTTTGAAAAGCCAACAGCTGGTCTGTTGTTGTGACACAGGGTAGCCCTCTACTTGTCCTCCAAGAAAGGGAAGCAAAAACAGAAAAAAAAACAAAACAAAGACTAAATAGTTTATCTTGTAATGTATTTTTGTGGTGTCCGATTGGCTCGGCTCTACCTGAGTATGTCCGACACCGATGAGTGATGTGCCTTCAAGTTCACCTTGATTCAGAGAGAGAGATTGTGAGGTTTTAAGTCTGAAGTGGGCGTTTTTTGCGCCCCGCCCCCCTTCCCCCCTTCCTCTCTGATTTGGGTGTGCACCTTATCTTCCTAAAATTATGGTACTTTACCATCTCTCTCTCCCTCCCTCCCTCCCTCCCATTCTACCAATGCTCCACAATGTGTTCAAGCTCACTCTCCCCCG